CTACTAGGCTACTTTTTTTTTTTTGCTAAATACTAAAATAAGTTAGTGGTACAATCAAGTACATAGGTACACAAACATTGGTAAATTTTTGTCTCTCTGTTCATACACTTCTATGCTTTTATCACTGTAATTTCACTGCACAACACTGCACTTCTCGACGTATCTCTTCACTTGCTTTGCCCTTGGCTGCTTATCTTTTCTGCCTAGATTGTTACCTGGCCACCGCTAAGAGACCAATTTACACTTTTATTTAATTGCAGTTAATCCTGTGCCCGTCCTTTTAACTGGACGTAAACTTAATGTCCTACCTTCTCTTTCTCTCTCTCTCTCTCTCTTTTTGTCTGGGTTCTCTTTCAGGTCTGGTTTAGTGACCTTCTCCTAGTTTAGGGTGAATTCTGACCTGCATTCTTTTCCCCTAGTTTCTCTATACTCTTTCAGTTTCACTCCCTTACAATAAAGCTTTACTTAGACTAACTTGTTTACAATGTTGATGTACAATCACTCACTCATTCACACAGGCGCTCTGACTGCCTTTAGTTATTCTGTTAGTGCAATGTCTTCTGGCTCTTTCAAATTTTTATTTGTTAGTGGGTAACTGAATCATCTGCTTGCGATTACGGTCTGCTCACTTTCATCCAAGAAATCCCCAAATTTCTAGTTAAGTGGTACACAATTTTTTTTTTCTCGCGAACTCTATTTTCTGCAATCGACATTCAGTTGTTTTGCTTAGACATTTGTTGACTGCCTCTCGTCAAGTCTGCCAATAACTGTCAAGATGAATCAGATGTTCTCCAAAGGACCTTGAGTGTACCAGAATGTCTTCTGTGTAGGAAACAACTTATCCCTCGGTTCCACCACCTAATGCTAATTTCAGTGCTCGGATAAAAGCCGGCAAGGAATTCCTAAAACCGTATGGGACTCTCTTAAACTGGTAAACTGTGGAGTCGAATAAGAAAGCAGTGTACTTCCTTGAATCCTTATCTAATTCTACCTGAAGATAGGCGGAGCTGAGATCTAGTGACGTCATATATCTGGCGCCGTCGAATTTCTGCAACAACTCATGCAATGGAGGCGTACGTTCTCTATCTGGCACTGTATTCTGGTTGATTTTTCGGGCGTCTAGACAAATTCTAATCTTCTTCCCTTCTCGCTGAACTATGGTCAGAGGGTTTAAGAAGGGTGAGCTACTAGCTTCCAAGATGCCGTCCTTTAACATCTGCTCTATTTGCAGTCTGACTGCTGGTCTCAGGGCAAAGGCAATGGGTCTGTTGTA